GGGGGAGATGCACGAGATAGTAAAACATCAATAACACATAAACAATAAAAGCATGGAATCTAAAACATATAAACAATAAAATATCAAACAGTACAGCTAAAAAAGTCTGATTGTATGTGAATGCAGCACGGCATTACAAGCAGCAGTTTCCATCCACGTTGGCCCAGGAAGGAGTCAGGTGGTAGACGGCAGAAACGGGTTTTGTGCAAAAGAAAATGAGAGGACAGAAGTAAAATTAAGTTTGTTAACGTTGGTGAAATTAGAATATTGCCAGTACTGTTTGCAGCTAGTATACAAGATCTGGTTGCAGGTAGATACTTCAGCATCAACACAACCAGCCCCACGCATTTTTGTGAAATTATTGTGAAAAATGAGGCAGCTAGTTAGTTCTGGTTTATTTTTACTTTCAATAATCCCAGTGGCTGCAGATACAGTGCACAATTTTTAAAATCAGAAACTGATTTTGGTGTTTGTGTTTGTAAAAAAAACTATTCCAGGCACATTCATCAAGTTTCAGATTTTATCGAGCCAATCACACCTTGGCGAGTCTCAATGGAACTTTTATGTTGCCATCTTCCTGACAGGGAGTAGGAAGAGACTCACCAGTCTGAAGAACGTCATCAAACATTTTGTTTGATACGTAAAGAGAAAGAAACTAGATAGCAGATGTACTTTAGTTCATTATGACAGATTTAGGGAAGCATTTCTGCTTTTATACAATCAAAACTTTCTATCACTGATGATGGATCGGCTAAATGAAGCTTTAACATGTTGTTGTGACATTTGTCTGGAAGGCAAAGTGGAGAGAGTTGCAATTAAATCTGGACAGAGAGACTATCACTTTAAGGTCTAATGAAAGAATTTCAGTTTTACAATAAATGATTTTTATTCTGAGGCATTTCTCAGGTTGTAATTTTATTTCCTTCCCAGTCTAAACAACAGTTGCTAAAACTGGACTATGTTTACAAAACACTGAATGGATTTGGTATGATATAACCCACATAAAGCACCACTTCTCTCATTTTACCTGATTCCTTACTTAAGTCAGAAAACAAAATAGCTTTTTTAAACATTAGATGGACAACTTTTAATGAAATAATTTGCATTTCTTGGAGAGCAGAGTCTATATAGGGAAAGAGAATGTGAGTGTTACAAAACCTTCAGGATTTCTGCATAAACTGAGGTCACAGCTGTAAACAAACACACATAAACAGATGTTTATGCCTACTTTTTGTGCTGTCACCTACTACCAATCTTGACTTGCTGCATTATCCTCATCAATCTGCAAGAAAAATGAAAAATCAAAATAACCTTCGACTTTCACAGCAGCATTCCAAGAATTAAAGTTCAGGAGACACGGCAATCACCAAAAAAACACCAGCTTATCTAAAACATCGGAAAAAAAAACAATCTGTTTTTTATTTTTGACATTAAAGGACACCTGGTTATTAAATCTTGAGACCTTTATATTAAGCTTTAACTGTTAAAGAATGCTTATGTGGCGTTGGATCGCGGGGGTAGCAGCCTAAGCAGAGAGGCCCAGACTTCCCTCTCCCCAGCCACTTGGGCCAGCTCCTCCTGAGGAATCCCAAGGCGTTCCCTGGCCAGCCGAGAGAAATTGTCCCTCCAGCATGTCCTGGGTCTTCCCTTGGGTCTCCTCCTGATTGGACGTGCCCAGAAAACCTCACCAGGCAGGCGTCCAGGAGGCCTTCTAACCAGGTGCCCGAGCCACATTAACTGGATTCTCTTGAAGAGGAGGAGCAGCGGGTCTACTCCAAGCCCCTCCAGGATGACTGAGCTTCTCATCCTATCTCTAAGGGAGAGCCTAGAAACCCTGCGGAGAAAACTCATTTCAGCCGCTTGTAACCGCGATCTTGTTCTTTCAGTCACTACCCACAGCTCGTGACCATAGGTGAGGGTAGGAACATAGATCGACCAGTAAATCGAGAGCTTCTGTCACGAGCGTGCCTGGCGAGTGGAGCGGAGGTAGGATCCAAACGTGGGGAGGAAGAAGGCGAAAAGGGTAAGTCCGTTTAACATGTGTTTATTAAATGCACACGCTGGACACTGAAACAATGACACGACATGGAACACAGAACAGAAGGGGTTTAAATACACGAGCATAGTTTCCCAATCACATAGCGGGAGCTATGGTGATTGGGAAACAAGAGGCAGGTGGGAGTAATTAACGGAGACACAGACTAAAACCTAAGAGAAGACAGGACAGGGTGTGACAGTACCCCCCCCCCCTCAAAGGGCGGATCCCAGACGCCCACAGGAACAAGGAGCAGGGCGGGAGGAGGGGGACCCGGAGGGAGGGCCCAAAGGAACCGAGGGACCGATGGAGAGGCGGTAGGGATCAGCAGAGTCCGGGGGCCTGCGTCTGCGGCAGATGAGGAGGCGACGGGCCCTTGAAGGCCGGCGCCTGCGGCAGATGAGGAAGCGACGGGCCCTTGGAGGCCTGCGTCTGTGGCAGAGGAGGAGGCGACAACGGGCTCTTGGGGCCCGGCGTCTACGATAGAGGAGCTCTTAAGGCTGGGCCGGTGACAGTCTCTGCAGGCTGGGCCGGAGCGACCTTCAGAACCACCATCGGAACCGGAGATGGTGGAGACGTCGGACCAGAGGGGACGTCGACCTCTAGACAGGAGAGAGCGTCGACCTCTAGACAGGAGAGAGCGTCGACCTCTAGACTGGAGAGAGCGTCGACCTCTAGACTGGAGAGAGCGTCGACCTCTAGGGTGAATAAGGCGACTTCAGACGAGGCGCCTTCGGAGACGACTTCAGACGAGGCGACTTCGGAGACGGCTTCAGACGAGGCGACTTCGGAGACGGCTTCAGAGGAGGCGTCGACTTCCGAGGAGACGTCGACTTCCGAGGAGACGTCGACTTCCGAGGACACGTCGACTTCCGAGGAGACGTCAACTTCAGAGGAGGCGTCGACTTCAGAGGGGGCGTCGACTTCAGGACTGGGGCGTCGACCCTTGGACTGGAGGCGTCGACCCCTGGACTGGAGGCGTCAACCCCTGGACTGGAGGCGTCGACCCTTGGCTTAAAGGCGTCTACCCTTGGCTTGGAGGCGTCTACCCTTGGCTTGGAGGCGTCGACCCTTGGCTTGGAGGCGTCAACCCTTGGCTTGGAGGCGTCAACCCTTGGCTTCTGGTCCTCCGGTGTCTGGACCACCGGTCTCTGAGCCGCCGGCTTCTGGACCGTTGACCTCTGGACCAGAACCGGAACCATCTGCTTCTGGTCTGGGGGAGTCGGCTTCTGGTCCCTCGACTTCTGGACCGCCGACTTTTGGACCACTGATTTTTGGAGCGGATCCGGTACCGTCTGCTTCTGGGCCGGTACCCTCTGCTTCTGGACCCGATCCGTCAGCTTATGGGCAGGTACCGTCTGCTTCTGGGCCCGATCCGTCAGCTTATGGGCCTGTACCGTCTGCTTCTGGGCCCGATCCGTCAGCTTCTGGGCCGGTACCGTCTGCTTCTGGGCCGGAGGCAGAGCTGCTGCGGGGGGAGCTGCCTGGACAGGCTGGACCGGATGCGGTGCGACCTCCGGGACCACCGCTGGAACTGGAGGCGGTGCGTCCACCGGGGCCACCGCTGGAACAGACTGTGTGAGAACTGGTGGTGCTGGGAACGATGAGAGGAGGGAGGACAGATCGTCCAGCTGTAGCTCTTTGAGGCTGAGCGTCCGATGGAGCTGGACCAGCTCAGCCCGGAGACCAGCGAGCTCCGCTGGGTGAACCCCGGGCTTACTCCTCTGGCTCAGAGATGAGGAAGCTGCATGCTGGCCCGAGACCCTCTCCTGGCGGCTCGGGAAGGTTAGAGTGTCCAGGTGAGACTCCTGGAGGCTGATGAGCTGGCAGAACCGGCCGAGCTCCGCCTGGAGCTCTATCAGCTGGGCTGCGAGAGCTGCTCCTCCCCCTGCAGACGATGGAGGCGCCGGTTCGGCAGGAGACGGGACTGGTGGTCTGGCCGGGGGCGTGTCCAAACTGCCGCACCGGGCAGGGGCAGATGCGAGCTCACAGCTCCGTCCCGAGACACCGGATGGTGGTGGAGTCTGGCGTCTTTCCCCACGCCGTGGACTGACTCCCGGGGAACAGACAGCCAGCCTCGTGCCCTCATAGCCGCAGCGATCCGGGAGCGTCTCCCCATCCAAACTCCCGTCCGGTTCCGGAAGGGCGGAGAGGAACGCCAAGGCTGACGGTCGGGGACGCCGGCGGCGGCAAGGCGGAGCTGGGGCTGGAGAGGGAGAAGCCGGCTGGTGGGTCGGGGTAAGCCACCGGAGCAGGTACTCCCACGGAAGAATCTCCCCGCTGGATCCTTTAACTGGTCGTGTCATTCTGTCACGAGCGTGCCTGGCGAGTGGAGCGGAGGTAGGATCCAAACGCGGGGAGGAAGAAGGCGAACAGGTAGGTCCGTTTAACATGAGTTTATTAAATGCACACGCTGGACACTGAAACAATGACACGACATGGAACACAGAACAGAAGGGGTTTAAGTACACGAGGAGCGGGAGCTATGGTGATTGGGAAACAAGAGGCAGGTGGGAGCAATTAACGGAGACACAGACTAAAACCTAAGAGAAGACAGGACAGGGTGTGGCAGCTTCGCCCTCTGGCTCAGCTCTCCTCTTACCACAGAACTCCCCCACACCCTCCAGGACCCCCCTAAGGGTAAAGAGCTGGTCCAGTGTTCCACGGCCAGGATAAAAAACACATTGTTCCTCCTGAATCTGAGGTTTGACATACCGACGGACCCTCCTTTCCATATCCCCTGAATAGACCTCACCAGGGAGGCTCAGAAGTGTGATCCCTCTGCAGCTGGAACACACTCTGTGGTCCCCCTTTTTAAATAGGGGGACCAGCACCCTGGTCTGCCAGTCCAGTGGAACTGCCGCTGATGCCCACACGATACTGCAAAGCCGTGTTATATCAGGTCTCATATTCTCCAACTTGCACCAAGAGTGAAGTAAGTTACGTAAAGACACAAAAACACAACTACTTATGTGTGATTTGTCTTTAATGATGTCTGAGATCAACATGACTGCCTCCATCACATCAGAAATCCGGTTACTCCAAAAGTTACATTTGTACAACATGGAATAAAACATTTTGCCCAAGTTAAAGACCAAGTTCACTGAGAAACCATTTTGTTTTTGTTATTTTTGAAATACTATTGGTCACTCTGAGTTTAACATGCAGGCTCAATGGGTAAATGGTCTACTAATCCATTTTCCTGCTTTAGTCATTGACATAGACGGGTAAACTCTCAGATCAGAAAGGCCAGCCAGATCTGTAGACTCACCCAGCTTGGGGCCTAACTGGGAAGGCTGTTGTTGGGAGAGACCAGAGAACGTCTCAGCTAGTAGAAGCTAATAGTATTAGCAACTCCACCACATAGCAGAACTCCTTCAGGCTTGTGTTATTTTTGGAGATACAACATCAGCGTCGCAACGTAAACAGAGTCAGTGGTGGAGTTTTGTTCCTGCTAGCCAATCAGAGGCGAGATGCCCAAATATCAGGAAATAAGACTCCAGATCCTGCCGTCTTTTGCAGGATCTTCTAGGTCCTGAAACAGGAGCACCAGAGCTTTTGTCCATCAGAGATCAACTCAAAAGGCATTAATTTATACAAAAGGCCACTGCTAAAGTGTAGAACAAATGAGTGAACTTGGTCTTTAAAGTAGCATTTTCATCTTTATTACCTAAAAAAGTTTTAGAGATTTATTTAAACAAAATGTTGTCCCAACCTGAGAAGATGCCTAGAGCGTTGTTTACATCTAAAAGCTAAACGTATGAATTTGAACCGAAACCTCCCACCATGCGCTCTCGGTAATACTCTCAATAACAAGAATGAGTACAACATGTTGGCTGAATTAGGACAAATGTCGCAACTAAATCACAAACCATGCAGAAGTAAGAGATGACAGCTTTAAGAAAGCAACATTTGATCGGACTGACAAAATAATCACATGATCTAAGTGATGTTTAGATGCTTTTCTTTAACAGCATCAGCATTGCTCATTTATGGAAACTTTATCGACTCCAGGACATCACGGCGGAGTTCTAACACACGTACAAACTACGGACAAAAACGTACCACAGCCGGTAAACGCTGACTTGATTTACTATAGTAACATTAAAAAACCAGCAGATTCATCCACGCCGGTCATCCTTCTGCTGGTGCAAGGCCACAACAACCACTCTGAGGTATCAAGGCAAACAAATCAGCTGTTTACTGGAAAATGAAGCAAAACTAAAAGAAACACCAGCAGCAAAGATAAGATTCTGGAACCCTGAAGTAAAAAAAGACATCGAGAGACGATCACACTGTCAGAGCTAATTAGCAGCATTATGTAGCGGGTCAGTAGTTGGGTCATCTTCAGACCACAGTGTTGGACACAAACAGCTAAGCAGGCAAATCGATCTTGGTGTAAAAACCCAAAGTTGCCATTTGTCAGTTTTGTTACAAAACAAAAACAACTTATTTTCATACACAAACAAAAACACAACACGGAGAACTTTATTGCATCTTGCTCTTTGCAATTTGTGAACCTGAAGGTGAACTACTGCAGCAAGGTGAGAGAGCTTTTTATTTTGCATGTCATGTGAGGATAACTTCATTGTGGAAGGCAGGATGAGTAAAGGTCTCCAGCACATCTGGTTTTACTTCCAGCTGGGCTTTGTGACTCTGCTGGACATCAACAAGTCTCTGGGATGCACAGACTTTTCAGAGAAGCTGCTGTTCTTACAAAGGTCGTCCCGTGTCGAGGGCGGACGTGGCGTCTCGCTGCGATAGGTGCTGTGGGTGGTCGCCTTCACGCTCTGCACCCGTCGCAGGTTTGTCCCCATCCCGTGTGGTTTCTCCTCGCTGCTGTGAACAGTCGGTGATGCTCGGTTCTGTTTCACAGAGGGTTTCCGGCCTCGGAGCGAGGGGCTGCGGGACGGGGTAGAGGGGACGGACGGTGGGCCCAGCTCCTTCTTGCTCCTGGAGGATGAGGATACCGTGTTTCGGGCAAAACTGGGGACATCAGCGGTGATTTTCATGTTGTTTGTGTTTGAGTTAGTGCTCTCAGGAGATGCACCAACCTGGATCTGTGCTTGGGCCTGAGTGAGAGCTCTCATGGTGGAGCGGCACATCTTCTCCTCAGCCGCCGGCTTGGGGATGTTCCTCAGGGGTTTGGCGCTTGGTTTGTGGATGGAAGCTTTTCTTGGCGTTGAATCGCGCGCCCATCTGGAAACGCCACCCATGAAGCAGCTGCCCCTCTGGACTTTGGACTCATCAGGAGGTACGCTTGAGTGTCGAGGAGGTCTGGTAACCTTCTCAGACCTTCCTCTGGCTGGGGTGCTCTGGTCACGGAGGTGTCGGCGTGTTTCTCCTCCATCCTGTCCTGAAGATCTCTCTCCTCGCTTGCTGCTGCCCGCCCTGGTGAGCTTGCCGATGGGTACCACCTTCCTCATGCCCTGGCTCTCGCTGCTGGTCAACGTTCTCACTACTCTCCCTCCACTGCTCTTTGTCACTTTGCTGCTCTTCAAGTGCGCTGCTTTTCTGCTATTTCTCTGGACCTCTTTGCCCACACCTGTTTTTCCTTCAGCTGTGTCGCAGCTCTCCGTGTCCCACTCCTCTGTGGCGGCAGACGGAGTCACGGATGCTGCGTCTACACACTTTGGAACTGGTAGCTCATTGGTTGACGCAGACTGGTCGTTGGGTGATGCAGACTCCAAATTAGATGACAAAGAGTTTGGATCTTGTTGATTTCTGCTGTAGTCAGTTCTTATGTGGAGTCCTTCTTTAGCTAGGGGAGAGCTTTCAGCCTCGGAGTAGTCCAAGGCAACAGAGCAGTCGGTTTCTGTGCAGTCTGGTATGTGGAATATTGGCTTCTTATTAGACACAGAGGTATCTAACGGGAGGGGAGTGTCGCAGGTGGTTGATGAAACCGTGCTGTGGTCCTCCTCTTCCTTCTCTCTCTCACAGGAAATGCCAACCAGAGAGGGAGAATTGACTTTATCTTCTGCCTTTAGATCTGCTCTCTTCTCTAAAATGTGTCCAAAGTTCTCCAGATTCTTTGGGACTGACTGTTCCTCCTGATTTTCCAGATCGGCCTCCACAGCACCAACTAGGTTGACACAGTGCCCGTGATCACTGTTGGTATTTGGACTGGGGAGGTTAAAAGCTTGAGGGCCTTGAACTAACGTATGCTTCTCCACGCTAACGTTCATGTGGCCTGTAAATATTGGGCTGGGAAGGTGCTTCTGAAACACGCAGAAGGAACCAGACAAAACGCCGCTGTCTGAAACAGATGAGTAGTTGTTGTTTTCAAATGGGTCCTCATTTTCATTCAGCCCAGAGGAGCAGAACCGGGCCCGCGGGGTCACCAGTTCAGTTTCTGCATGTGGAGAAGTTGCTTTTGTATCGCAGCTCGGCTCTCGGGTGTCTTCCTGTCCTAAAATCCACGGAGTCGTCTTCCGCTGGTGGGGGCGACTTGGCCGAGGTAGGCTGTAAAACTTGGAATAATCGGTGGGATCCCCCGTGTCTCCAAACAGCTCCAGGTATCCCTGGAGTTCCCGATCGGCTACAGAAGTCAGGGTGTGACGGTGGCGGCGAGCGCTGGCGGAGCGTCCCAGAGGGCTGTGCGGACTCTGAGACCTGCTCTGGAAGAAGTCCAGGAGGTTCTCCTTGGTGAGCATCTCCACGTCGTTCTCGCTGTTGCTGCGACCAAAGACGCTGCTGTGATCCTCGCTTGACCACGCTAAACGCTTTTGCTCCAGTTCTCTCAGCCGACGCAGTCTAGCTGCTTCCTTCAGCTCGCGGTCATTGTTGTCCTGAAAGAAGCAGAGAGGTGGAGGCATCAGATCACGAGTGCTTTGACTTGAACTAAAACCTCACTTCAGTAGAATAAGCTGTAATAATCCCACGGTAACAAAAATTAACAAATGACGGAATACTTCCAAAGATACTTTCAGACTCAAACAAACCTTGACAGCTTTTTTGAATTTGATGCAGAAATCTTGAAAAATGCGGAATCCCTCATCCAGTTTGAAGGTGTCCTTGTCTTCACAAAAGAAATCTATGAGAGCGTTGCCCTCTTTCCGCAGATCCAGCCTGCGTCGCTTTAGGTCCTGGAGTGTCTGTGCTGAGCTCTGAGACAGAAATTCAAACACACAAAAATGTTTTATAGAGGATTTTATCTGTGGCAGCCCAGTCAGCAGCTTTAAACGTGTCCCCTGTCCTGAGTCCAGCGTCCCGTGTCTGCAAGTGTTACTGCTGCCTCACCTGCAGAAAGGGCTCCAGCTGCAGCATCAACTCCCGGTCTCCTTGAACTTTCTCCTCCAGGGATTTGATCCGGACATACAAGGAGGAAAACTCCAGCTCAATGTTTTCCACTGAAATTCTACAGGAAAACAACAGACAGGTCAGGAACCACCATGTGTAATGGCACCAATCATAAAAACTGATGACTGTAAATCAGAATAATTTTGCTGAGTTCACTTAGAGACAAGATACTGAAGGGAAGGAGGAGGAGTGATCTTGGCTCGGCAGTGCTGGAGCTGCTCTAGTCTCACACCACACAGGTTTGACCTTGGATCCACACCGTGTCGTGTGCACGACTCTCACAACGCTACACTTAAGTTAGACGTTGGCTTTGTTAATAAGGCTCTGCTATGCAGGATTCATGAAGACTTGACGCCTACAGTCACATTTAAATTGGAACTGATTTAAAAACCTGCAGGAACTGAATCTTAAACCTTGTGGGTGGATGTGGTTGGTGCAGCTTCTGCTGTCAAATCCAGTGTAATAATCAGTCAGTAGCAGATTTTGACCCTCTAGTAGAGGTCACTTAAAGGTACCGTCTGAGATTTTTGTCCCATTCTATTTGCAAATCTCATCTAAAGAGTTGCTTTGCATGTTCTGTTTAGAGTCTGCTTCTGTTCTTGCTAGGCAACGTTTAGTGATGGAGTTACTGTCTGGGAACGCAGCGCAGTTGCAACTCTGTCCTTCAGGGATCTGGAGGTTTTGTTAGTGGTGAGGTTTCCCCAGATTGTTGGTGGTGAAAGCTAAAGACTGCCTCTTTTTTCACTGTAAAAACACCATATGCTATAAATGCTAGCACAGTAAGCTGGGGGAGGGGTTCGGCACAAAGCAAGTGGGAGGAGGTTTGGTGCAGTTCAGGGAAGGTTCTGGAAAGTTTGACCGTAACAGCAGCTCAGCAGAGCTGTATGTCTGCTCAGGCGTGTGTGTGTGTGTGTGTGTGTGTGTGTGTGTGTGTGTGTGTGTGTGTGTGTGTGTGTGTGTGTGTGTGTGTGTGTGTGTCTGCTCATGCATGTGTGTGTGTGTGTGTGTGTGTGTATGTCTGCTCATGTGTGTGTGTGTGTGTGTGTGTGTGTGTGTGTGTGTGTGTGTGTGTGTGTGTGTGTGTGTGTGTGTGTGTGTGTGTGTCTGCTCATGCGTGTGTGTGTGTGTGTGTGTGTGTGTGTGTGTGTGTGTGTGCGTGTGTGTGTGCGTGTGTGTGCATGTGTGTACAAGCAGGTGTTGTACCTTTTTCTGCAGCTATCAGATTCTGAAACTCAAGGGGGAGCCTTATATTTGAGTGTAAATTCAATAAATTTTTAACGGTTTGAGAGTTTCACGAATTGTTTCTAAAACTTGCACCCTGCTGTGATCTGATCATCGAAGAGCCTTAAATGAAAATGTTTACAGTTAACTCAAACATAGGAACAGAGATTTAGTTTACCTGGCTGCACTCTGAACATGCTCCAGTTTCTCTGGAAACTTGAGAAGCATCTCATCTTTCTTTTTCGCCTCCTGTGGAGAAACAATAAACAGTTTACATCAAATATCGTTTAATATTGTACAGGGCAGGCTAAAGTGGCTGAAAGGTACAGTAATTTTTCTTGGGTTATTATTTTGGCAGCCAGAATTGTCTTTTTGCCATTTCCTGTCATCATCTGTTGCACACAGGGGCATCATCTCTTCCTCCTCACATTACGACTCAAGTATAAAGATAAACAGAATATCTGTCCTAACATAACACTTTTAAACAGCAGAACACTGTTTGTGTTTGTGAATTTTATTATCCAAGGAGAAGTGAAATGAAACAAGGATACACGACTCCTTTAAAGGCACGGTTGGCAGTTTTGCTTGCTTTTAGCACCCCCTAGTGTCCATTTGCAGAACCGAAACAAAACCTATCTCCTCACTGAGCGTTCATCATTTTACCACCATAATCTAACAGCTGAAACATCTCCCCATCTTTCATTAGTATCTACAGGAGTGAATAAGAAATAAATCAAATAAATCAGCTGTGTTCATGATCTAAAACATGCAAGAAACATGCTGGGAACCAGGGCCAGATTAACACTTTGTTGTACCCTGGGCAACAATATTCAAGGGCCCCATCATCACGACCCAAGGATCACCATAATATGGTCACATACAGAATATTTTACTGTAATATGCAGTAAATATACTCAATACTTGAATGCCTGACTTCATGTAACCCGCTCAGGGTAACCTTTGACCCACCTTGTGTGGACTGACCAATGAGGAGAGAGTCTTAACTTGAGGCCCTCTCTTCATTGGTCAGTCTGCATGAGACTGACTCTCAACTGATGTTCAGTCATAGGCAGCGAAGCGTCTCTGTGCAGCGCAAAAGCCCGGGTGGACAGTTTGTTTAATACAGGGTGATCATATTTCCATTTCCAAACAAGAGGACAGGGGATCTGTGCCTATGACGTCACACTATGGCAACGCCACACAATGCTGGGACCCATTTTTTTGTAAGAACTAAATATCAGATTCTGCCAATAAAAGGGCTCTAAAACAATAAATACTTAGCATATTTACTGCAAAATCTCATTTTTCTGCTTTAGTGCTGCAACAAGGTTTTATTAATAATAAATTATTATACCTTTTGTTTTACTACAGCATCGGTACGCTTCCTCTGCACAGATTATCAAGGATGCTTGTTTCAGCTGTGAGATTAGGGTCAATGAAAAAATAAGTTGTCACACACTCCATGGAAACTTTCAGAGAATCCACAAATAGTGGCTTTCACATGGTTTTGTTACTTTTAGCAAGTTTAGAAAAGCAGCAGATGAGACAGCATGTCTGATAATTTAGTTTTTCATCTGATAATATGAGAACATGTCAGCGATGTCTGAGGGGCTTTTATAAACACTGTATAACTAACACTACTGGAGAGGGTATGGATTACACAGAGGCTTCTGGGGAGCCCAGCTATGGGGGTGGGGTGGTGCTGGTGGTGTGTGTGTGTGTGTGGGGGGGGGGGGGGGGGGGGGGGGGGGGGTCATTTTGCCTTGGCCCCCAAAATGCCTTGAAACGGCCCTGGGTGTGTAACTGAGTTTTGAAGGTGATCTGAATTGTATCAGATGTATAAATATTACATGTGTGTAACTTATTGTTTTATACAGGAAAAACGTGTAGTGGAGATAAATCTACCTACATTTTACTTTTCAACACTTTGTTTTGTTTTCTTGTTTTTATTTAGCTATATTTTCCTGTCCTGTCTGTCTCTCATCTTCCTGCATCTCCTCTAAACTCTCCAGAAAATCTGCTGCCTGGATTCTTACTTTTTCACCTCATCGGTTACTTTTGAGCAGATCAAAGGGATCTCCTGACCACAAAGCGGAGAGCGCGTTTCGATGCGCCAGTGAGGTGAAATCACCGCAGCACAGGTGATGAGATCCGCAGTGGCAGAGCGCTTCAAGCACAAATAAGACAGAAAGTAGAGAACATGTGCGGACATGAACAGTCGTGTTCTAATTATAGTTTTTTGGTTGCGCCACTTTGAGAATGGACCGTGCGCTGGACGCAGCAGCCTGGAGCGCTGCGCACCGATCATCGCTCTGCCGCTCTCTGCTGAAAAAAGTCCATGAATGATAATATAGTAATATAGGTAGAAAACTTTTTTCCGGCTCCCCTGAATGTGTAGGATATACAGCTCCCCCATCCCTGCTCCTGGATGAAAAGCCGGACATTTTCATCAATACAAGAACCCGGACATCCCGGACAGAGAGTGAAAAGCGGACATGTCCGGGGAAAACAGGACGTACGGTCACACTAGTTTAATATAAAACGGGAGATTACAGAGACAGTATTTTGCTCGTGCCCTTGCTGCCCTGGGCCCTTTAGAGTTTGTGGGCCCTGGGCAATTGCCCAGTTGCCCATATGGTTAATCCGGCCTTGCTGGGAACATACTGCAGCGCCAGGTATGTCAGCTCCATTATTTTCTGAGTCCAACAGACCGAACGAGCACTCAGAAGTTGAAAATGTAACATTATGGCCACAGAGGGCGGTGGGGTTCAGAGTGACCTTTCATTAACCATGTAAAGGGTCATTTTAGCACATAGTGACTCAAGGAAATTATTTAAAATGGGAAAAAGTTGAACACTATGGCTTTAACTGTGACTGCATTAAGGTTTGTCATCTTTAATGAAGTGTATGACCAACACCGCAATTTTATTATTTCCTCTTTTTATTGTACTTAATGTTTTTATTGCACATTTTGTATTTGGGCTATGAAGCACTTCGGTCGACTACATGTTTTTTAGGGTTGTATACAAATAAACTTTGGTGTGGTTGATATTTTTGTGTTTTACTGAATAATCTGAGACGGACATAAATAATAAGCTCCATATTCCTCATAGTTTCACAAACCATGGCGACAAAATGCAGCAGGTTCATTCCTGGCTTGTTGGCCTTTGTGTCGGCCAATGAGAGGAGCGACGACAGTTTAAATCCAACAGCATTTCCCGCGTATCCACCCTGTGATGCAAAGCACATTAGAGAAACATTACCACTTTCACCAAAAGACAATAAAATGATACCAAACTGAAAATGAGCAAGGCTGCATTCAGCTTATTTAATTAGGGATGGCACTGGCCCACCCTTGACCCCTCCTAGAACCGCCCCTGTTTTTAACTGTATGAAAAATATCAGTTAAAAATGTCCTTTAGCTTGAAATTTTTTATCCTAATTGGTCAGTTTTTGAAAAAAAAAAGACATAATAGAATGGCCTTAAAACAACGCTTTTTCTGTTTAAAATATAAACAGAATAAATCAAAGCGAACATTTATTTAACAGTGTTGTGTAGATGAAATCTTACAGCATTCATGATGTTTCCTGCCTGAAGCACCAGATGAAGGATGGCATGAAGCTCCTCACAGTTCATCAGCTCTACAGGAGGAGGCAAACATACGTTACACTCCAAAGATCACACACCATGATAAAGCCGCCTCATTTACTTTAATGTTACCAAACAGGAAACTGGAAAGCTTCAACAACGCCTCACTTCAAGGATAATGAAGACTTTATCACTTATCAAACTTTTTGATTGTTTTTATTTTTTAAAAATGATAAAAAGGTAAATTCACTGCCTTAGGCAGTGCAGTGAGTCGATAACATGGAGATCCTTTTAAGTTAAAGAACAAATATCAGCAAAGTTAAAAAAGAAAAATGCGTGTTACTCATTTGAAATGACGCAGAGGTTATACGTTAAAAAAGGTAATAGTGGGAAGGTGAACTTCCGAGGTTCTAGTGTGACTTTGAAGAACATTTATTAATTTGGGTGACAGAAAGAAAAGAATGTTTAACCCTCCCACTGTCTTTACGGGCGACCCCGCGAGCAAAGTTGACCATTGAGCAGGATTGATGGTTTATCCCTGGAGGTCCGCGTGGCAGGGGGGAGGTGGTGCTCACTCAACCATCAACCCTGCTCAATGGTCAACTTTCGGGTCACACCCATTGGGACAGTGGGAGGGTTAACTAAAATATTTTGAGATGTATACATTGCATTTAAGAAATAAATACTCAGCTCAACACAGATGTCACAACTAAAATAATTATCATTATAACAGTTATATGTGTTAAATGCAACTTTCAACTGACTATACTTTGTTTTTCTTTGTAAGAATGTACATTTATGTGTGAATTATATGTGATTTTTTTTGTCAATATTCAAGCCAGGAAAAGTTTTGGACTTATTTTAATTAACTTTTCATGAATTTTTTTAAACCTCTTGCAGGATTTAGTGAGACAGCTGAAGCTGCGGTTCTACTGAGAGAAAGTACTACAGTAAACAGAACTAGGGATGAGCCGGATACTCGTTTCAGACAAGTATCCGGTACGGATAAAGCATTTTTGACGAATGCGAGTAAACCTCGTAAGGAATACGAGTAAACCTCGTAAATATCTGTAATCGTGCTGAAGGGAAATCCTCAGTGGGTAACTGACTGTCTTCACGCTCTGTGATTGGCCAGTCACATAGAGCGCCCGCCCCTCCCTACACACACAAAACTCTCTAGCCGGCCGGGAGCGCAGTCCGTCCTGTTCATCCAAGCACACACACAGACAGTAACGGATCTTGCTGTGATTGCTTCACTGTTGCTCACGTTTCTTCAGTTTTCCCTAGGTTTTCTTCAGCTCGCCTCTTTTTCAGTTGAATAATTAAAGTTACTTTTTTCGTAACTGACATGGTGCATTTGACAAGACAGAGCTGACGTGCTGTGTCTCTACCTCCGCTCCGGTCGGGTTTTTTATTTTTTTTAACTCCCTCTCTCTATGTCTCTCTCTCTCTCTCTCTCTCACACACACACACACGCACACACACACACACACACACACACACACACACACACACACACACACACACACACACACACACACACACACACACCTCAATCAACATTGTTTTCTTTAACTTTGTGTGGGGTAAAATGCCAAGAACATTAAGAAAAAAATCAGTTAAATCAAATTAAAATAAAAAAAATATACATAAAGTTGTGTCTGGTTCTAGCATTTCATATTTCCTAGTTCCTACTGCATGAGTTCAGATGTATTAATCCATGCACTTAAATATTAATGTTCAAATTTTATTGAAAAACTTGTTCTGTAATAGTTTCTTTACTAATGTGATCAAAAATATTTAATCTCTATTCTGAGGCTGCTCTGTAAATAGTTTTCAAATAAACAATACACATATCAACTTCTGATGATTCCATATCAATTTCAGACTTAAAATAAAATATTGATGTAAACCAAACCCACTTCCAGTTAAACCACGCCCACTTCCGGGTTATGCCACGCCCGTTCCGAGTACAGATACAGATACAGATAGTGGTGTACTCACTCATCCCTACAGAATACTTTCATTGTGTGCTTCAGTTGACTTTTACATTAATGACCAAGTTCACTCATTTTTTTACACATTAGCAGTGGTCTCTAGTATAAATGAATAGCTTGTGAGTTGATCTATGTGGGATTAAAGATCTGGCGTTCTTGTTTCAGGAACTAGAAGTAAGCTAGAGCAGAGGAGAACTGAAGATTATTTCCTGATATTTGGACATCTGACCTCTGATTGGCTAACAGCAATGCAACTCCACCACTTTGCAACGTGGATGTTTCATCTCCTCCTCACCTCACCTTCCTCCGCTTATCCGGGTCGAGGGGGCAACATCCCAAGTAGGGCCTCCCAGGCAATCCTCTCCCCGGCCACGTCCACCAACTCCTCAGTTGGGACACCAGGGCGTTCCCTGGCCAACCTTGAGTTGTAGTTCCTCCAGGTAGTCCTGGTTCGACCTGGGGGCCTCTTGTATTCGCGATCTTGTTCTTTCGGTCATCACCCAAACCTCTTGACCATAGGTGAGGATTGAGACGGAGATCGACCAGTAAATTGAGAGCCAGATTGGTCTAGCATCCTCATCACTGCAGCCGCTGCCCCAATCCACTTGTCGATGTCCCACACCTTCCTCACTCATGAACAAATCCCCGAGATATTAAACTCCTCCACGGGAAGACCTCTCTCCCGACCCGCAGTTGGCAAACCACCCTTTTCATCTCTTCAAATAACATAAGCTTGAAAGCCAGGTTGTGGATTTGCTAATGCTAACAGTTAGCTTCTACGACCCGTCAAGTGCTCTGTTGTTTACTGGGTGCTAAACCAACAACAGCCTTCCTTGTCGTGAGCCAAGATGAGTGAGTCCATGAATGGTAAAACTCAATTTTACATTGATCTGACTGGCTTTTCTGATCTGAGCATTACCTTTCTCTTTTTCAGTTGCGGCTAATGCAGGAAATAGAGGTAGAAGACCATTTTCACATTTAGCCTGCAAGTTAAACCCAGACTGACTGATCATATTTCAAAAATAGCAAGTTAAAGATGGTTTCTCAGTGAACTTGGTCATTAAAAAGAGGCACATGCGTGACATCTTGTTTTATTCTGATCCCCACATGGTTCTAGCTCATGTGACCACTTCTTCTAACAGCTCAGATTTCTGGGTCGACTGTCTGTGTGCTTTCAACAGAACCGGGCCGGCACTTTGTTACCTTTAGTAGCAGCTCGGATAATATCGATGTCATGACCCATGGCAGCACAGCAGGGGAAGAACTCCTCACGGAGGACCATGGCCTCGATCCGAACCTCAAACCTGTTAGACAGATCAAGGAAGGTTGAAACTGGATAAATCAGACAGTTGCAATGTTAAAGTTCAAGTCATTCTTCTACAAATTGTCATCACCATCAATAGAAAAACAGGAAGCAAATTATAGGATGTGCAAATGATTGACTTTTGCTTGTGTCAGTTGCATGTTGTTCATGTTAAAACACACCAGAAAATAAGAAAACAGGCTTTAAGCGCACATTTCTGCAGCAATAATCACAAACGCTCTGCAGAGAATTACAAGCTCATCGGAAATTCCCCACAAAATTATGCAACCCAACTCTGCAGTTTTTCAGTGTAAACCCCTTTATTATCCTCTTCCAGTTAAAATGCTTATTCATGTTCCCCATTTGATTGAAACTCTGTGAAACACCATTGAAACCAACCTACCGTGGCACCTGGATTAAGAGGTGCATAAAGGAATCAACCAGTGTCAGCTTGTCTGGATCGCCTTTAAACGCCTGCAGTTTCTTGATCTGCACCGAAAATAAAGAATAAAGAGGAAGCTCAGAATGTAAACTGTCATTGATTGATGGTTCTCCCATTCATACTTTCACACAAATCACAGACGCATATGAAAACAGACCTCCTCCGCATCAGGCAGCAGCTTCAGCAGGTCTTTGAGCAGCTCTGCTCCATAAATCTTCCCCTCTCCTCGTCGTATGTCTTCAACAATGGAGTGATTGGACCTGAAAGACACACTTTGCTTAAGTTCAAGGTTAAATGCTTCAATGTGAATGCAACACACACACACACACACACACACACACACACACACACACACACACACACACACACACACACACACACACACACACACACACACACACACACACACACACACCAAATTCAACCTGATCTGTTTCTCTTGTTTGACATTGAGTAATAACCATCAGAAAAACATCTTTGATATAAAAACATCTCTGGACAGTTTGGACAGAATAAATCCAGCATTGATGTTGTCGGCTGAAAATACATGTACAAAAAAAACAGACACAGAGTTAAAAACTGTAAACTTTACAAACACGTCTGTCGTTTTTGTTAGATTTTCATAAATATTTACACATTATTTTGAGTTTTGCTGTCATGCAACACTATATCGACTTACAACACAGCAACAAAAGAACAAAAACATCGCAGACAATGAGACTAGTAAGGTGACACTTCACAATACTGAGCTGAACACACTTGAGTGATGAGGACCACCATTTTACAGCCATTTAGTTTAGACTGTTTGTCTGAGTCTTGAACCAGTTGTTTCACATTGCTCTATAACCCTGGCTAGTGGGCCACATCCAGTCCAGCTTACGTGGCACACATATTATATATGTATTACAACTAGGCCATAGGTATACTAAACCCAAACCAGCAAAACTACAAATCCCAGAATGCACAGGAACAGGCAGTAGTCCATAGACTGTATATATGGTGGTGGTAAATCCTGTTTTGTGCCCTGAGGTTTTGGAACCAGAGTCCCCACTAGAGACGCTGGGATGAAAGTTCCACCTGCTCTCCAACAAGGATGCCCCAACACAGATACCAGCAGGTATAGGGTTAGGGCGGGTATCAGGTATCAGTCCAACACTGTATCACCGCACGAGAAAAATCCTTATGGTATCACAGAAACCACTTTACAACGTTGTTCACATCTATGTTGAGTTTCAGCAGTAGAAAGCAACATGCAGCTCTTCAGCAAACTCTGGGAGGGATAAAGCAAGAGTAAGAAGCAGTGGTGTAGCGGTAAGTGTATTTATACCATCTAAACTGTCACAAAGCCATCATTTAGCTGCAGGGATTCCCAAGGTGTGGTGCGCGCATCCCCAGGGGTGCGCGAGCTGCCGCTAGGGGGTGCGCGAGCTGCCGCTAGGGGGTGCGCAAGGTGAAAAGTGTAATGGCTGCGGAGCTCAGAGAAGTCTGTCATATGTCACCATTAGCGTAGCCAGAAACTCATTTGTGGGTGGGCCTAAGAAAATGTAAGTGGGTCCAATAAATGTAACTGAAAACAAGTATATCTTTGCGCGCGCGTGTCCTCCACATGTGCCCTAGTTTCATAATAACAATGCGCCGAGCTTCAGCACTCTGGCCTGCGCACGCCGATATGTTCCGTATTTGATCATTTTTAACGATGTTGGAGAAATCTGAAGGTGGTGAGTCATTCTGGCAGATTGTAATTAACACCTGTCTCATGCAGGTGTTCTGACATTGTAAACCTCACACACAGAACATTGTGGATGTAACTAAATAAATCAAGAAATGATTCCCATTCAGGCTATTAACAGCGCGCTGAAGATCTGAAGTTCAGAGTGCGTCTGTCAGAGGTCAGACGTGTTCCAGCGGAACCACGGCTCACGGGTGCACAAGTGAGCACATCTGGGCTGGGCAGAAGTTTAAATAGCGCCAATAACGAGACGCGGTGACTTAAACGCTGCAAGTTGTGAAGCGCGTTCCATCCGCGAGCCGCATCACCAAGCGGAAAGTGAATGTGTCAAGCATAAACCAAGCTTCATGGAGCTTTGCCGCGCGCGCACACACACACACACACACGCACACACGTGCGCACACACACACACACACGCACACACACACACACACACACACACACACACACACACACACACACAAACACACACACACACACACACACACACACACACACACACACACACACAAAGATTCAATAAGCGTGCACGCTGCGCAAACTCCGGCGCGCCGTCAGACTGAAGGCAGAAATGAGCGCTGCGTCCTCTGTGATAAAAACTTTTAAGAGGCTTTATAACAACATTTTTCATTCAAGGTCAAATTAAGATATTAGCTTCTATTTTGGGATGACGTATTAAAATCGGGTCCGCTCCAGCCAGTGACTCCTCATGAACCTGACTACAACTCATGTTACTGCAGCATTTGTTATTCCAGTCTGCGTGGCAGCGGATCGCAGATTCAGCCACACCATAAAACAGCAAAAAGTCGGTCTGAGGCAAAAGTGAACATCATGGCTATAGCTTTTCCATCTTTTCCCCTATAGACATTTGATTACACACAAGTAGGTGATCAGTTCAGGTTTACGCAGAGCAGAAGGAAGGAGAGCGCTCTGGCCGCACAGGTTAAACGTTCCTACTTTAAGAAAACCGTTAAATTGCATTGTTTATGTGCTACCTGGGCACTCTAAATATTTATTTAAAATTAAATAAAAGGAAATTGTAATGTATCGAATGTTTATTAATTACTATTTAAAAAATGAAAGTGACGGGGAAAAAGGTCGATCATATTTTTTTTAACCCTGTCTGTTTAGCTTGACGTCTGATATATATATATATATATATATATGTGTAGCCATGCCCTGATGTGGGGGCTGGAGGGTGCGTCGACATGGTCGGGACATAGAAGGGGGTGCGTGGCTAAATAACTTTGGGAACCACTGAGCTAAGGCAACAGCACCTTTTATTGCATTGCATTTTGCTCAAGGGCAAAGTGCAGCTGCTAAAAGTTAAACCAACGCTGAAGTGACAAAAATGCAGCTCCACACTCATCTGCTAGGGGCTGGATTCAGAAAGAAGCAAGTTCTCACTGATGCCCATTTTAAAAATGCCTACTTCACAGCAGAAATAAACATGTTTGCCGTCTGGTTCTAAATTTAATAGGTCAGGTTTATTGTCCTGACAACTTTGACGGGGTGACATTTCTGTAACTTATCTGTACTTAAAGCTTGAAATTCTGAATCCTTGGGGGGGTGTCCAGTTGACTGACAGGTAGCTGATCAGTCGTCAGCGCTAGCTCTAGCAGCTTGTCCCTCTTCTTGCTCTAGAGTAATTAGAAGATTGCAGGTTCGATCCCAGCTCCCACCACAGAATGCTGCTGTTGTGTCCTTGGGCATGGCACCTCACCTGCACAGCCTGCTGGTAGTGGTCAGAGGGACCGGTGGCGCCAGTGTTCGGCAGTGCGCCCCAGGGCAGCTATAACTACACTGTAGCTCATCCCCACCAGCGTGTGAATGGATGTGTGAATGGATGAATGACTGACAGTTTTGTGAAGTGCCCTGGGGAGTTGTAAAACCCTAAGAAGGCATTAGAGAAGGCCTCAGCCTCATGTTAAAAAGTACCTAGAAGGCAGAGGGTAGCAGTCACTCAATTGGAGTTTTCTGGCTAAATGAATGGCAACCTTCATTTGTTTGGTTAGCTCATAACTGTATTGGCTCAGAGTTTGACAGGAGTAAATCATCTGCCAGGGGTCTCAGAGGTCTCATGTCCAAACAAGACCTAGAGAAACTCATTCATGTATTCATCTCCAGCAGGCTAGACTTTTTCTATGGTCTTTTGTCTGGTCTTCCAGAAAAAGCTGTGAAGTAACTGCAGCTTATTCGGAATGCTGCTGCTTAACAAGGACCAAAAGAACCGAGCACATCACTCCTGTTCTTAAATCTCTACACTGGTTACCAGTAAAATACAGAATACATTTCAAAGTGCTCCTAGTTTATAAATCACTCAGTGGCATGGGGCCAAAATACATGTTGGATTTTCTTGCAGTTTGTACGCCCAGCAGAGCTCTGCGATCTCTAGAAAAACAGTCAGCTTGTGGAACTCTTCACATGTGCCCCAAACTCTAGTCAATTATAAATCAATATTGAAAACTTTCACGTATTCATCGTCAGTCTTTGAATGATTGTTTCTCATGCTGCACCTTCTGCACAGTAACTGCTCAATCTTGAACTATGCCTTTTTATTTAATTTCCCACATAAAATTTAATTTGTATATTTAAATCTGATCTAGTTTTATTTGTGTATTTTTACATTGATTTTAAAATCTTCTGTTTTCTATTGTCAGGTTCATTTTAACAATTTATGTTCCTGCTATTTTTGCACCTGAAAAGCACCATAGAATCACTTCTGTGTATGAAATGTTCTATATAAATAAAGCTGCCTTTCTTTTCCTTTAAGAAGGCTACATGAAAGCTCAAGAAAGCAATAATAAATCCTTTAGAGATCATACATGATGTAACCCACGAGTTTGTTGCGGAAATAGACACTGCCTGCAACAAGGTATGGCTCAGTCAAATATCATTAAAATCCAATGGGGAGCCATGCAAATTAACTGTTCAGGAAGCAAACATTCACCAAACTCCGCTACAGCAGAGTCTGGTAACAGACATTAAACATTAAACTCAAACTGAAACATCGTGTTTCTTGTGTCCTTTATCCCCAAGCCACAACAAATGGAGCTATTCTAGAGACATTTGTAGTCATATTTTGACACATAACACATAGGTTCCCTCAGATTTAGGGGTTTACTTCACTTACTTCTTAAACTGCTTGAGAAAAATGCCAACATTCATTCCCCTCTTTGAGTCAAGGATGCTGATCTGAAAAAAACAAAACAAAAAAAAACATATTTTGAGTCTGGGTGTTTTTCAATATCAAGGACCCTTGCCTTGATGTCTTGGCCCAGCCTTGGTTGCCTAGGAGAAATGTCATCAGGAACCGCCAAGCCATGTTCCATTGTTCATGTTCTACCAAGTCGTGTGTTCTCCGTTTGTTAGCCGTTTAGCTAGCTGAGCAAGTATACATAGGAAGTGTCTTGCAGCCTAGCCTAGGTCAAAAATTTCCCAGAATACACCGCAGTATTTTCAAAAGGATGGCGGACCAGAAGCCGGCAGCTACTTCGGGAGCAAATTTCAAGTTTAAAAGTAAGTCAACTAATTGTAACTATTGGGCTGATATCTGAAATGTTTGTTTTATATCCAAAGAAGTTATCTATGGTTGGTAAGTTGCTTATTAGTTGCAGCTTTGGTGACTAGCATGTAGTAACTCGCTTACATATTTAATTAAAAACATTATACATAATTTAAAAAGTAAAAAGCTCATTATATATTTATATTGAAACTTTTACGTATAAATTTTAATGTTATCTCCCGTGTCACGTGATGTCAGGTGATTGCTGCAGAAGCCGCGGTCATGTGATGTAAGTCTTTTCCACTTAACCGTTTTCTTTGACCTAGGAAGTACAGTGTCCTCGTAAGCAAGGCGCCTGGTCTCAATCAATAAATCAATCAATCAGATTTTATTTATAAAGCACTTTTCAGACAAAGTGCTTTACAAAATGACTCCAAATTCCCATAACAGTTTAAAAACATTAACAGACATATGCAAACTCACACACACACACACACACACACACACACACACACACACACACACACACACACACACACACACACACACACACACACACACACACTAACATCAGTAAAAATGTATATTCGGCTGAGTCCAGATGAGCCAAGTAAGGTAAGGCAAGGAAACGCCATCAGAGGAGTAGTCTGCCCCGGCAGCATCAGGTCTTCCACACTAAGTCAGGGCGCTCAGAAGAGGGGGAGCATAAACCCCCACCTCCAATTAAACACCACCTATAGAGCGCCCAGGAAGCTACAGTCGACCACCGCCCCTGGGGCAGAGGGCCCCTACAGAGAAAACACTGGATTAAAATGAGTAAAAATATGAAAATAAAAGAGCTAAAATAAATGACAAAAGGAAGAAAATAAGTAATAAATAAAATCATATAGACAGTAAAATAATAATATTAAATAATGAAACAGAGCTAAAATATAACCATATAAAACATGCTAATCAAGCAATCAAATATAATCATGTAAAACGAGAATTAAAACTATAGTAAATAATTAGATAAAATCTAACCTAAATAGATGGGCCTTGAGCCTGGACTTAAAAACATGAGCGCTCTCTGCAGCCCTGAGGTCCTCTGGCAGCTCGTTCCAGAAGCGAGGGCCATAATACTGGAAGGACGCCTCGCCGTGAGTGTGTCTCGCAAGACATCGCCTTGTGAGGCCAGGCCCCTTGACATTGAGAAACACCCTTAGATTATAAGAGCTTGTGATTGAACATTTATCCCACATGGGACTCCCCTCAGCCATGTGAGATGTTTTCATGTTCTTCATCAACTGTACCTTGTGCTGCCTTCCTCAAACAGGTGACTGTACATCATGAGCATCTTCAAAAAGGCCTAATTACATCTTTGACACAGCCATCAGACACCACTGCGGTTTAAGCTTATGACTAATGAGTGCAGGTGTGGCAAGGTTGGGCTAAGTAACGATAGTATATAATTAACTCCACACATGCAGAAACATAACGTATGTAATGTGCAGGAATGATTGCAGGACTAACAACTCTACAGTTTCATGAAGCAATGTTATTGTCACAGTGTCCTGCAATTCTCTTTCACAAGAACCAACAAGAAATACAGCGTACAAGCATCTGCGTTTAGGCTTAAAAAGGCAACCTGATGCCATTATCAACACATATTCTTGAAGAAGTGATTTAGATTTGCTTTAACAGCAGCCGAATCTACCAACACATGTTGCTGCTACCTCTTCAGTACATATACAAACAACCTGCATATATCTTCTTTAAGCCCCTAGAGATGTCTAATTCACAGCTTGTGTGTAAATGTTCACACTTTTGACACGTAGCCAAGGTGTTGAGGGGATCCGTTTGGTGGCTTCATCAGACTGTGATCTTTGGCTTTCCCTGGAGCGGTTTGCAGCTGAATTTGAAGCAGCTGGGATGAGAATAAGCTCCTCTAAACTTTGTACTGGTCTGTCGTGGTGAAGAGAGAGCTGAGCTAAAAGGTGAAGCTCTCGATTTACCTGTCGATCTAAGTTCCAACCCTCACCTATGGTCACGAGCTTTGGGTAGTGATTGAAAGAATGAGATTGCAGATACAAGCAGCCAAAATGAGTTTTTTCCGCAGGGTATCTGGGCTCTCCCTTAGAGATAGGGTGAGAAGCTCAGTCATCCGGGAGGGGCTTGAAGTAGATATGCTGCTCCTCCACATTAAGAGGAGCCAGTTGAGGTGGCTCCGGCATCTGCCTGGATGCCTGCTGGACGCTTCCCTCGTGAGGTTTTCCAAGACATGTCCAGCCGGGAAGAGAACTAAAGGAAGACCCAGGACATGCTAGCGAGACTATGTTTCTCGGCTGGCCAGGGAACGCCTTGGGATTCCCCCGGAGGAGCTGGCCCAAGCGGCTGGGAAGAGAGCCACTGGGCCTTTCGGCTTAGGCTGCTGCCCCAACACCGGATAAGTGGAAGACAATGGACAGATAGATGGATCAGAATCAGAATCAAAATTTGTGTCATTGCCCCAGAATCCTGAAGCATAGAAATTTGTCTCAGCAGTGCAGCCTGATGGATGGATGGAAGGATAGATAAAAATGTTGTGCCTCAAAGCAGCTTGTTCCTAAAGTCAGAAACTCTCCTGATCACCTTATGGTGTGTTTTTCATGTCAGATCTCTGATTCTTTTTATTTATTGTAGAAATGTTATCAAAAAAAGGCAAAAAAGCTTGGTTTAGGTTTTTGCTAGGTGTTATCAGACAAACATGACTCTGCTTCCCCATTAGTAACCAAGTCCACTTTTACTTCTTGGTTTTGGTTTATATGGAAATACACAAGAATGAAATGATCATAACTTGCTGATTGTTCAGTGTTACAATCTAACCTGGGTTTTCCACAGGAAACGGCAAATCCAGTCTCACCAGAAGCACTTCAGATGCAAAGCGGCAGTGAATACATTCCACGCAGCTGAAGGTTGTGAAATCACCACAGAATAGCAAGATCACGCGTGATTTCGGTAGTGCACATGATAATAAGCAAGGAGAAAGATGGCAGAGTGTATCAAAAGGGTCTGTGGTTTATTTTCAGTTATTTTTACCTCAACCATGGAGGTGTCACAGGTAATGTTTTGTTTTCTAGTAAAGCATGTATTGAGCGTGTTTCCCTTTAAATTCAGCATAATACCTCCTTTATGTGTGAGCTGACTGGATGAAACTGCAGTTTTCCTTTGCGAGTGCTTGGAGAATTAGTTGGAAATGCTAAAGCTTAAGTTGCACTCGCAACTGATGTGCAATACTTTGGTGAATTTGGGCCTTTGTGTTGAATATGCTATTTGCAGTTTGACTCTTGACAGGACCTGAAATATTAGCTTTGTTTCTGCACGCAGCGACTGTTACTTGACACCCCATCACAATTTTAACTAACAACTCTTCTTTTAAATCCACAAAAGGTTTGACATAAAGAACTAAGAGTTTTGACGTGGAGAACTAAAGGTAATGTAGGAGTTTATTCAATGCCGTGACTGAACCTGAAGCTGGTTTTCTTTTACAGCTCACATACTACAAAGTGAAGCAAGCTTGTCTTCTTTATATTCTTTAACACAAAATGTTTTGCTTGCCCAAAAAAACGCTGAAACTGAGCACTGTTTCCAAACTAGTCCCAGAAGGAATCTCTAGTTTCTGTAGGAGCAGTTAGAAAAACGGCGTGCTGAATATTTTTATTGTGAGCTAACCAGCACATCCTGAATATGTCAGAAAAAGTGATAAGAAGATGTCCTGGCTTGATGTCCCTAGTACGAAAGAATTTATTGGGGAAAAATGTTTAAAAAGTAGAATAAATTATAATTGAACAGGGTTTCCCCCAGAAAATGAGTTAAGCCCGGCGGATTCGGCCGTTGTGTGTATGTGTGTGTGTGGGGGGGGGGGGGTCGGTCGCGCGCTTTGCCCCGCAGCGCTCCTCCGTGAGAGAGGGGGTGAGGGTGTTGCATACGTTCCACTGCTGTTTCTCACCAGTATCAGCTGATGGAGGGCTCTAGTTTCGTTGCACCATTCATGTCAGCGGACACGGTAGGGTCGGGGAGAGAGGCAGGGCATGACGCTTAGCCTGGCGGGTGGCTGAGCAAAGCCACCTGATTGAATATTTAAATTTTCAGGGATCCTCATAAGAACCACTCACCTCACCCTTGCTGCTGTCCTTAAAAGACCGTGACCTTGATATTCGAGTTGAGGTTCCTGTAGTTGCCGTCCCCCCTCGTAAACCTGTTACCACCTCCTCCTGCTGTCCGAACAACTCCTCCACGGAACGAACGTCGATTTGGAACTGCTGCTGCCTCACCGCCATTGTCCAGATGTTTGGCTTCCCGCGTACCTTCTCTTCTGGGATGGTCTTCCAAAAGAAGCTACGAACACGACGCTTTTTTCTCCCATTGTAGTTGGTGGATGTTGATACCAGGGGTGGAGGAGGTGGGGGTACCCCAGGAGGCGGGGGTGGGAGGGGAGGGGGTGGCAGAGCTTCATGCTGGGTGGTGTCGGTGGCATCGTTCAGAGAGCTGGTGTGTCCGGACATAGAGGACAGGTTTGAGGTAGTGATGGAGGAAGTGGTGCAGCTACTCTCCTCACTGCTGCAGCTCTCTGGCTCATTGGTTGCGGATGAACAACTCATAACAAGTGCCAGAAGGGTCAACACTCGGCTGTTTGGTGGGGTAGTTTGGGGCATGAACTCAATAAAAATCTGATGGGTTCTTCCTCTGTTTCAAAAATGAACTGCAGAGAATTCTGATTTACTTTCTTAAGCATTGGTTTGTTCATCTTTTGATTCTGTCCGTTTCCATCAGTCAGATGGGCGTCCATCATGCTGGGTAAAGCCATTGGTGTTCTTTGGGGGGGAGAGGAGAGGGGGTGACCTCTGCCATGTAGCTACAGGGGCAAAAAAGAGAAAAAAAGACAGGATTACACTGAGGTAGTCAAGCATATCAGCCTGGACAATCTGGAATTTGCAGAATTTTAAGGGCTCAAAAACATCAGAACACCCAGACAAGAGAGCTCACAATCGGGGGGGGGAGCTTGGAGGTGAAAATGTTCACAGACATGACACAATGCTTAATCTTTGTTACATGATGTAGTGTCACTATTTGACAGTTCAATTAGAAAGGTAACTATAGATTAGGGAAATGATCAAAAGCCATATTGGTTCTGCAAAGAATTACAGTGAAGGAAAAATATCAGATACACAAAGTTGTTAAGGAAACATCGCAAATCTGTCTTATTTCAGAATGATTTCTGGAATGGCATAAGAATTACACATCCCCTCTGCAGTAAGAGTGTATAACTCCTCACTTTAAGCTGTACTGGCATTATTGTGTTACAAAATAACACCAATGCAATATTCAGTATGTGTTCAATACAAGTTCAATACCAGATTTACATAATATGTCAGTGTCTCGCAGTATGCTGCATAGTGTTGGAACCCAAGTTTTTTCCTTTTTTATTTGTGGTTTTTAGTGGTCGAAGGTTAAAATTCTAGACTACTGCTTATGATTATATACATGTACCTTTGTTACTATTTTTCTTCAAATCATTCACTTAAGTGTTGGTGCAGCTGTAACAAATGAATTTCCCCACTGTGGGATCAATAAAGTCTATTCTACTGTGATACATTTCGTATCATCTCCCCTATATTGTGATACATATTGTATCGCCTCCTCTGTTTTGTGATACCTTTTGTATTGTCTCCTCGTATTGTAATGCATACTGTATCATTTCCCCTCTATTGTGATACATATCTTATTGTCTCCCCTGTATTGTCATGGTCATGGGTTCGATTCCAGCTCCCGCCAGGGGTATCCTGCTGCTGTGTCCTTGGGCAAGACACTTCACCCAGCTTGCCTGTGTTAGTGGTGGTCAGAGGGGCCGACGGCGCCAAATGGCAGCCTCGCCTCTGTCAGTGAATAAATGATGGATCTGGGCGGCTGTGGCTACAAGTGTCTAGAAAAGCGCTATATAAGTTCAATGCATTATTATTATTTATTAAATCATTTATTTATTAAATAATTTTTCATTAAATCATTTATTAAATCATTCACAATCATTTGAGCTGACATGGCTACATTTATCTGAGACTCTATGAAGAAATGAAGAAAACAGCCAGCAGAAAACTTAAACTTAAAAATGCTTTCTGAGATCAAAGAAGGCACATTTTTTAACAGAAAAATAAACAAGATTAAAGATTTGATTATTAGGATAATACTAATGGATAATAGGATAATAATAATGGTAACAAACAGCGCTGAAGTGAATACTTTCTGGGGTTTTCTGGAATCAGCATCTACCAGAAATGTCCCAGTCAGGTCCACTTGATACCCAGAGTTTGTTACTAATTAATAAAGTGAACGTCACTAATCGCCTCGTGTTCCCAACATCAGCCTGACATGTCCTCAGAGCCAGACCTCACCACCACTTCATGCTTCATTCATGAGGCTTCTAGAACATCTGACCTCCCACAAAGCCATCTCCTCAATACTGAAGGAAACGATCGATACAATGATCATTAACATCTCAGCTGCTGTAAAGAAGCACTATGCTTATTTCTTTATTAGGTATATATTCTGAATTATTATCATTGTAAGTGTTAAATATGTAGCACCAGCTAAATTTAGTCCTAATGAATCACGCTTCACAGAAAAAACTGAAACTAATCTAAGATGAAATAGACTAAAATTGAAGGAAAGTTTGATTTGCTTCTGATAAAATTTTATTTAAGAATTTTCACATACTGATTGTAAAAGGTACTCAAGGAAATCTTCTGTTACAGTTATTATTTCAAAAGGCTAAGAATAGTTTTATAAATTTTAAACTGGGTTATATGGGCAAATAGAAGAAATTCCCGAGAAGAAGCTAAGTGATGTATGTCAAGGTAAAAAGAAACTTCAGTGGTGAGCAGCAGAAAAAGAGAATAAAGAACAGTCATTACATAACACAAGAAAAGTTGTTTGAATTGAATAAATGATGGACCATGAAGCTAGGAACAGTTCTCAGTTTTAATTATTGTATTATTTTAATTTCAGATTTCAAACTCATAGAGCACTGTGGCAGGTCCACAATGGTGGACAAAGCTCTATCTGCTTTGTGGACCAATCACAGCACTCTAGCCACTTTGTAGGCCAATCAGGGCCCTCTATTCGTCTGGTGGGTGGGATGATGCAACAGAGTAGAACAAGATGGCGACAGCTCATTTGAAACATCTTTAACATCAATCTTGGACTATTTGGACTTGGGCTTTATTAGAATCAGGAGCAGATAGATGTATTTAAGTCCTTTATTAAGAAAAAATGAGGTACTTTTGCCTTCTTCAACAGCTGGCTGCCCTGTTTACCGTCATCCATAGCTGTGAGTATACGTCATGTTCATTGTCCAGTAACATGCGGAGATCGTTTGAAAGACAACCCATGACTGAGAGCCGTCAATGGAGCATTGCCAGACTAAATAATATATTTTTTAGTCTACCTTACCAGGCTAGCGTACTACGTTTTGTGGAAGTTACGATATGCTTACATGTTCGGTGGAAATGCCCGTTAACTATTAACATGCTGTTAATGCTTTCTGGGTTACTAGGATTTTTCTCTTGCTCACCAGTCTTAATGTTGTAAACAAGCATGGCTCCAACAACCGTGGCTCACCAAAACAAAAATCAATCCAACTCTCATCAATAAAACAAATGATTTATTTTTCTCCTAATATCTCAGATCATTCCTTCAAACTTGAGCCCAGATGCTAACAAGCGTCCCTCTAGAACTGAGCTGTCAGTGACTGACTTGTGTCAATACAATAAATCAGCATGGTTGGTCTAACATGATCTAGATTTGAGGAAAGAAAACCTGTCTGTCTGTAACACGAGACGGTGGTCCTACACATCCACCTGCTGCTGTTGAAGAACACTGGGCTTCGTTGAAGGATCCCACCTGTTGTTGACACTGAGGCGTTCCCACCACGGTCAATCTTCATTAAGGACAGGTAACGCCCCACCCTTTGTCATCACTCACTGACCAACAACAGCCTAGGTCAAAGGGCAGCATCCTCAGCATGACTGAACTTTCAGAGGTCAGACGATTCACATCGAAATAAAAGTACAAAGTAGGTAGAGGTAAAGCCTGCAAATAATTAAGTTCAAATTAAGTTAAATACACGTATCTAGAAGAATACTTTTCTTTACAGTTTAAATACTGACCCTGTTTGTGAGTATTAGTTCATATTTAGACCTGCTGCTGTACACACACTGTCTGACCCTGCAAGTGTTTTAACATTTTATCATTTCAGATGGAAATACCTTCAAATCCATAACCAAGGGCAAAACTTAGTTTTATTGTTTTGGGTCTCCAACAACAAATACACCTTTCCTATGAAAGGTGTATTTGAGAGTGGCTCAGGAAATGAGTAAGCGAGGCACGACTGGTGAGCTCTACGAGTTTAGATAAACAGATCGCCCTGTCGATGACCGGTGACGTATAAGGTTTAACCTGAGGTGCTGTCATGAATGATGATGAGAATGGGTCACCACATAATAAACACACAAAGTGAAGCAGATAAACACAAATCTCATTTTATTATACTTTATTTATAAATGTTTGCTGTGCATTGTTTATCTCACAAGTGTTGAGATTTTTCACGCTTTTCTTTTTCAAGGACTTATTTGATCACACCTGCTCCTCTACTAGTATCCATCACATTTCCCCCTTGTTTCCTCCCAAGCTAAGATGGTTTCAGGTACCTGTCAGCAGATTTTTAAGGAGCTGCTAAGAGCAAAACAAACACAATCCACTAACTACCTCTCAAATATCTAAAGAGCAGAGGTCTAGCCACCACCGACTGCTATAATGACACCCTGTTGCTAACTCTGAGTTGTACTTCCTGAGGGTCGGTGGATCCCTGCAGGGTTCAAGTATTTTACTCACACTGTAGGGGCAAAGAGGTGTGTTCATTGGGGCTTTATTCATCATTATTACCATGGGAATGGTCGTTAGCTGAAAGCAGAGTGCGTAAAGCTCAGAGGGGTGTCGCTGTGGGGTCAGGTTGGGGTTGATCACCTTGATCTTGACTTTTCACAACAACCCTGGAGATCCTGGAGAAAGTTAATTTCTATGAGAGAGAAATCCCATATTTCTGTAACAATGACTGGTTCAAAAACTACCAGAGTCCCAAAAAGAAAAGCACCATAGTAGGGCTGCAACAACGAATCGATAAATTCGATGAAAATCGATTACTAAAAGCGTTGGCAACGAATTGCGTCATCGATTCGTTGTGTCGCACAACTCTTCCAAAAGCGCACCCCCTTCCCGCCCGCCGTTGCGCGCTGACAGATCAGCGCGAGGGAGAGCCGGCAGGTGTTTGGAAGAGGAACATGGCAGAAGCAGCGAGTCAAAAAAGTAAAAAAAATTTTAAGTTTGGGAGCATTTTCAGTTAAATCAGGCGAAGACATTCGTTACCTGCAACGTTTAGGTCAGACTTAGCATGGCACGGGATGATGCAGCGTCTTAAACGCAAGCATGTCGGGATCATCAGCGAGGAAGGAGACAACTCTGTGTCCGGGTAAATTAAAAACTTTTCAAAAGTGATTCATCCAAGTCCCGGATTAAAACTCGTAAAAAAGAGTCTAAAGTCGTGAGCGCGACGCTTATTAGATGAGCGGGGGGACTCGCGCTGCTGCGAACCGGTTCCGCCCAAGGCCGGATTAACTGGGCAATTGCCCTGGGCCCATGAACTCTAAAGGGCCCAGGGCAGGAGCAAAATACTGTATCTATAATTTCCCGCTTTATGAGGACTATGGTGACCGTACGTTTCATTTTCCCCGGACATGTCCACTTTTCACTCTCTGTCCGGCGCGTCCGGACTGCGGGTTCTTGTATTGATGAAAATGTCCGGCT